TAAATCAAAAATTAGCCAGGCGTGGTAGCGCGTGCCTGTAGTTCCAGCTACTCGGAAGGCGGAGGCGGAAGGATCGCCGGAGCCCAGAGCCCAGTGGGTCGAGGCTGCGGTGGCCGGGAGCGGCCACTGCACTCCAGTCTGGGCGACAGAGTGAGACTCTGACTCAAAAAAAAACTCTAAGAATGGAACAATAGCAACAAATTTTGGAAGCTGGAATGCAGGTAGATATATAACTTAGCAAACACCAGAAAGTTGAATGCTAAACTGGTATTAAGGATGGCTGATTTAAAACCTAGAACCCACAAAAGACAAAGCTAAGTATGTTTGGGAGAGAAAAAAAAGATGATTCTATAAACAAGATTAATAGAAGATCCTTTAAAACACTTAAGTCTGTGACAATGCTAAAGTCAGAAAGACTATACCTTTTACTTCTGGCTAGAATAAAGGACAGCATCTCTAAATTAAAGACCCCAGAATACAGCTGAAGGTGGAGGTACCAGTCTTAGTCCATTTGTGTTGCTATAAAGGAAGACCTGAGGCTGGGTAATTTACAAAGAAAAGAGGTTTATTTGGCTCATGATTCTGTAGACTGTACAAGTAGCAAGGCTCCAACATCTGCTTCTGGTGAGGGTCTCAGGCCGCTTTCACTCATGGCTGAAGGTAAAGGGGAGCCAGCATATACAGAGATCACTTGGCAAGACAAGAAGCAACAGAGAGACCGGAAGAGGTGCCGGGCCCTTTCCAACAACCAGTTTTCTCAGAACCTAAGAGTAAAAACTCGCTCCAAGCACATGCACCAAAACATTCATTAGGGATATGGCCCCACAGCCCAAACACCTCCCACCAGGCCTCATCTCCAACATTAAGGATCAAATTTCAAAATGGTATTTGGTGGGGTTAAACAAGCCATATCCAAACCATTAGCATACCATACTAAAAATAGGATGAACAAATGAACTCTTAAACATTGAATGCTGAACACACATGACTCTCTTCATCCACAAAGTCCCCAGAAATATCAAATACCACAGGTCTATACTCTTCAGAGACTGGAAAAACTTTCTTTGGGCAATCTTACCACGCTAACTCGCTGACTGAAAAGACCTAAATATACTCACGTGAGAGTTTCCAATTAAACAGTCTGTTATGAGATTACATCCAGACTCAGAGTTCCAATTAGCTTTCTAGTTTCCCACTCTTAATAATGATACGATACCTGAGAATAATCTCTAAGAAAAAAAACTATGTCAAACAGAAAAATGCAATGAAGTGACCATGAGAAGACGAAAACTTCAAAAAAGTCACCATTAACGTCCTCAGAGATAAGATCATATCCATGAAATAAGAATAGGATGTCATAACAAGGAATAGGACAAAAATAAATATAAAATAGCAAAAATGAAAAACTCTATAATAGAGTGAATGGGAGATAAAATTAAGAAAATCTCCTACAAAAGGAAAGCATCAGTATAAAAAAAAATCAATGGAACACAGGAAAGAAAGAAGTCTTAACAGACTAGAAATTTCAGAAGAAATAATAAGTTCTAAAAATTTAAGAAATATTTCCAGAACTTAAAGCAAGAGCTCCCAGATGGAAAAGGCCCAACACAGTGAGTTAAAAAGATACACAAGGAATATCACTACAAAATTTTAGAACACAGGGAACACAAGCTTCCAGAGAGGGGGAAAAAACAACAAATGGATCCCATTTAGAGAGAATAAGTAATGAAAATGGCTTTAGAATTCTCAATGGAAACCAGAAGGTAAATAGCAATTCCTTCAAATTTCTAAATG